ATAAAAACTTTTTTCTTATAAATTATAACAATATCTGATAATAAAGGTAAAGATATAATAAATATTTTCATTTAACAAAAAAAAGGAATAGAGTTTATTTGACAGTTATGGTATTCTAACAATTTTTTTTTTCATAAATTAACATGAGTCAATTTAAAATTCTAAGGATATATCCACATTAGAAGAAATAGAAAGTAATTTCATGTATTATTAAATAAATATAGATCCAGCTCAAGTAATGAAGATAAATATAAATAATTAACTAATACTATGAAAATTGTAATGTTAAACTAACTTTAGATGATAAAATTAAATATAATAACTATAATACTACAATTTGTTAATTATATTTTTATTTATTAAAAATTTAATATTTGAAATATAGGATTAGTTTCAAGTGATGATAAAGGTAAATATAATAGCAAATATATGTATTTAACAAATATTATAATTTAACTATGTTTAATTTTGTTCAAAATATTAGAAGGATTGGATGGTAAAGAATAATCTTTTTATTGTTAGTCAAAAATAATATTTTAATTTTTAAAATAAAATTTAATTAATTTTATTTATACATAGAATATAAGCCATTTAACATTTATATATCTTAATACATTTTAAATTTTGATTAAACTTTTTAATAAATAATATCTAATGATTAATAATACTATAGGGAGTAAGTTATCTATAATTTTTATATTGCAATTTAAATATAACTAATTTATTTTAAAAAAATTTAAATGGTATTTTAGTTATTTTTATGAATTATATTATATTTAATTATAATTTTATAATAATTTAAACTCTCCAAATATTTATATTTAAAAATTATAGAACGTAAGTTATATTTATTAGTAAAATTAACTATAATTTTAGTATAATATAAATCAAAAATACTAATATATTGTATATTATTATTACAGAAAATTAATTATTTTAATTAATTAATTATATTTTTTACTGTAATTTAAACTCAACTAAATTTATTTAAAAAATATAATTAATAATTAATAATATAAGGGAAGTGATTAGGGTTTCACAATTCGATTTGATATTTGAATATTTGATTTGATTCAATCAAATTCAAATCAAAGAATAAATTATTTGATCAAATCCAAACTAATGTTTGATCCAATTCAATTAAATTCAAATCAAGTATTTAAATATTTGATTTGATTTGAATCAATAGTAAAGCTATCTCTAAAGCTTTAAGAGTTACTCTTACTAAGAAAATTATAGTAAAAAGTACCTTCACAGCCTCAGAAATACCTTTTTTACTAAGAAAATAATAGCAAAATGCAGCTCTGCAGCTTTAGAAATACCTTTTTACTAAGAAAACATAGTAAAAAATGCTTTTGTAGCTTTAGAGATATTATTTTACTAAAAAAACATAGTAAAAAATGCCTTTGCAACATTAAAGACGTTATTTTACTAAGAAAATATAGTAAAAATGGCTTCACAACTTTGAAGACATTATTTACTAAGAAAACATAGTAAAAATGTCTCTGCAGCTTCAAAGGCGTTTTTTACTAAGAGACCTAGAAAAAATACATCTGCAGTTTCAGAAACATTTTTTTACTAATAAAATTATTACTAAACTAATATAGTGGTTATTATTAAGTTTTCTTAGTAAAATTAAAGCTGTGATAGCGGTTATTACTATGTTTTCTTAGTAAAACCAAAGCTGCAATAGCAGTTATTACTAAGTTTTCTTAGTAAACCAAAGTCACAATAGCGGTTATTACTAAGTTTTCTTAGTAAACTGAAGTTACAATAGCAGTTAATACTAGGTTTTCTTAATAAACTGAAATTATGATGGCAGTTATTACTAAGCTTTCTTAGTAAAACTTAAACTGCAGAGTTATTTTATTAAGTTTAATAATAAAAATTTACCTGTTACTAAACTTACTTTGTAAAAGCTATTTTTGAAATTTTTTAATACAATTACTAATAATTTTCTTAATTAAAACTTTAGAATAACTTTATTTTAATATATTATTATAAAAATTAAAATTTTTTATATTTGATTTAATTTGATCTGATTTGATTTGATTCGATTCGATCAAATTCAAATTGATTCAAATTGATTTAATCAAATATTTGAGTTTAATTTGATTTGATTCGATTTAAGAAACCCTAGAAGTAACACATATGATGTAATTATGAGGGGAGGGATCCTTAAATATCTCACCTCTCATATGATCATTAGGTTAGCTAATCATAATAAAGAAGTAAAATAATTACAGTTGAACTTCACTATAATAAATCTGAAAGATCACAATTCATTATAATGAGAAAATTCAGTAATATTTTAATAATTTATTCATTATATAGTAATACTGAATATCATATCCAAATTCAGTATATGATAATAAGTTTGAGAAATAATATAAAATAAATTATAAATAACTAATGAATTAAAATTATAAAGGTATGCTTGCTTTTAGCCAGATAAAGATTAACCTATAACTGTTATCGCAAATAAAATTTTTGCAATTTTAAAATTATGCAGTTTTCACAATTTTGCAATTGAAATTTTTAGCAATTTCAAATTTGAATTATAAAAATTAAATCAATGAATTAATTACCACTAATTCAATACTGGTTAACCCTAGGTTTGATACTAATTAATCTGAGATTCAACACTAATTAATTCTTATAGAAATTTATTAAATAATTATAATTTGATTTACTAAATGATTGAAATTACAGCTAAAAATTTAGCTGATCTAATTATCTAATTTGAAACTAGTTTACTTAACTTAATTTTTAATAAAATTAAGATTGATGTTGTACAACTTCTGACAAAAAAAAATTTCAATATTTATAATATAGAAATTCTAAAAACTTTTTATTAGATCTTATCAAACTCGACTCTTTTAGAAGATATATTAGATTTAACTACTTTGAAAAAATTTACACCTATCCCAATTTTTTTTACCTTACTCAAATTTTTGATAAGTCTTTTATTCTAAGGTTTGTGAATATACTGTAAATTGACTTCAGAATAGTTTCCTATATATCATGAAAAAATTGTTATACTAAAACTTAGTTTATAACTTTTTTGCTTTTCTTAAACATATATAAAAAATTTATACCTAACCCAAAAATTTATACTTTATCTGAATTTTTTTACACCTAAGGTTATGCTTAGCGACCTTAATTTTGTATAAAGAAAATGGCTTTAGAATAGTTTTCTGTATATTGAAAAATTATTAGTATATTAGAACTTAATCTAGAGTTTTTAGACTTTCTTGTACATATTCAAAAATTTACATCTATGTTTTGCAATAGGTATAAAATTTTGGTATTATTAGCTAATAATGAATCAACTTTGAATTAATTCTAGGATATCATAAAATATATTATGCATTTTAGGCTTATATGATCAGGCTCATCTCAAATTACGTCACTTCATTCCTTAATTTTCAATAAGTTCTTCAGGAAGCAAGCAAAATAGTATTAAAGTTATTATTTATATTAGGTTTATAAGGTCAGGCTCATCTCAAATCATATCACTTTATTCCTTAATTTTTAATAGACCCTTCAGGTAGTAAACAGAATAGTAAAATTTTTTGATATATTATTTGGAATTAAAATCAGGCTAGAATAGCTATATCAAATAGTGTAATTCTTGGTATCAGATAGGTTAATTTCAAGTCAAGTTCGATACAATATCTTTGATAGTTAGATTTGAGCCAAATCATATAAGCGACTTAAATTCAATAATTGATTTATATAACTAGAATTAATTTGCAAGCAATTAGGAAACTTTTTATGAACTATTTGGAAATTTGTCCTAAATGTTCTATTTGGATTCTACTATCTACCATTAGATAACTACCCTTATAGGTTTTATATTGCAGACAATAAGACTTTACTACTACTAAAGATGGGCATCATAATTAAGAAGTTACAACTTGGTTGCAACTCTTTGTAAATTTATTTTAATATAAAAATTCATAAATAGTTGTAACTCAAATTGTTGCAACTTAAGTTGCAACTAGTTAAAAATTTTAAAAATAATTATGGAAACCATCTTTAACTACTACAGATAATATTACTCTTTTTTTATCTAAGTTCAATTTAATCACAGTCATAACTAGCTAAATGCATCATATTTTACAAATTCAGATCTATTATAGACATGGTTTATACATACCTTATGAAATTTATTCTTAGAATCAAATTGGTATATCCTATAAACTATTGTTATAAATTATAATCTATTATAATATAATATCCTAATAAAATCTCAGTTATTATCAACTAAGACAGGATTATTGGAATCAAATAGTAGTTATTATATAAGCAATAGAGCAATATTGACCTATATCATTTATTTTTATTATTTTAAGATTTTTTATATGTAATAAATCATGTAATATGATGTGTTGATTTCGATTTTTAGGTTTTCATTTTGACTTCATATTTATCTATATAATTAATCTTAATATTATGACTTATATATTTTATATTATATTTTTTGTATTTTTATATTAAATTTATTAAATTTATAAATATTTTTAAATATAAAATTTATTAAGTTATATTATAAAGAATTTTTTATTTGTAATATTATAAAATTAATATGTTATAATTCTCATAATTATTTTAATATTTCATTTGCTATACAATTTAATTGCGACATTTTTAAATTAATTGCGTAAGTTGTAATACAATTGGACCATTTTTTGGTAATTGTAGCGCCATAGTTAGTACAAATTTATACTAGATAGATATTATAAAGATCAAAAGATATTTACCAATAGTATTATTTTCTTTTTTCCAATTTCTCTTTAAATATAAAATAAACTTTCGATTATATAAAGACTTAATGTTCTTTTTATAATACTATAAAAGTCATGTGATAACTGTACATATAACTGTACATATTGGTTGCATCATAAAATCAAATGCTTTTATTAAAGTAATACAAAATATATTTCATTTTTAACCAAGATACGTTAGCTATAAAAAGTCGTAGAATAAATGTAAAAATGGAGCTATTGCAGATTGTAAAATACTTAGGCCGAGAATATTACAAATTGGAACTCAACTCTAAATTAGAAGAAGTTTAGTTTCTTTAAGATTACATCTAAGGAAGAATCCAAGTTTGAGTGATATGTACGAGATGTTGTTAAGTCTATCAGGAATAAAATCTTACCGTCCGATTTGACAATAACCAATCGGCCAGTCTCCTCATGTTATAAAATCAATAAGTATACCAAGTGAAGATAAAAAATTATTACCACTTAGATTAACTATTGTCTCCAATAATTAATTTTTCCAGAACATGCAACTTTTTAAACCCAAATTTTTCTCTTTGCGTTAAGGATCATGTGACAATTACACCATAGCTAATATTCTTATCCATCTCCCATCAAAGAAATGGCATGGCATTGAACACCTTTTTTATATTTTGATAAATATTCATGTATACAAATAAGCATATAATAATAAAAAAAATATTTGGAATTTAAACAAAGAAATCTGTGATCTCTTGATTAAATTTTATTACATCATTCTTTGTTCTATTTTCAAGAATTTTAGGTTCACGGAGTTTCCGAAATAAACAACGAATTGTGAATTTTCGTTAAAAAAAATTTACACATGTAATTAAGGAAACGAACTTCACCTTCCGTTATTTGTTTTATTGGTAAATAGAAAGAAAAAAAAATGCAGTATATGTGTAATGAAACTAACTCCTTTATGGTAAATAGTTTTTTTTGTTTTTTTTAACAAAGTTCATTTAAAAAGGGATGTACCATGCATCATGCAAATCATTTTTAATTTCCTATATGATTCGGAATATATTTGACAAATGATGACAACATAAGTATTCAAATATTTTTAAGTATTTTTAATTGCTTTAATTACATTATCAATCTCGCGACAAAGAAATGTTTCGAATTTCTTTTTTAAAAAAATGTACAACTTGAAAATACGAGATTAGATACCGTTGTTTTAAAATGTGTAATGATGCAAATTTCTGTTTTGCCAGTCATTACATATCCTTCGGATTTTAGTTCCAACGATAGGTATTTGATGAATTATCGTTTTTATTTCTATATCATGTTTAAAAATGGCTTTGATGATTACATTTTAATCATAATATTTACATGTATATGATGTTTTATAATAATGTCAAGAAAGAAAAGATATAAATAATTTAATGCATGAATTACATTACACAAAAAAATAAATAAATGATGAAAAAACATTTTTCTTTGCAATTTAAAAAATGTAACGAACAAAAGATGAGATATCGTGTTTCATTACATAAGAGTTACCATCTAATCCCCGTAAAAAGCAGTTATCGTTTGTCCTTAAAAATATTTATTCAATAATTACATAAGCGGAGTTATGATAAAATGAAACGCCATAAAAATTCCGATTAGGTAATCACATCTAAAGACGTAATCATGTGTTTCTGAGATTACATCATTGAACTTGATTACATTAATGAAATTTGTATATAAGCGATGTTTGTCTAAACGTTTTTCTTTCTCAGAAAATAAATAATAATTATTTTCTTCAATCTAGATTAGTTAATTGGCTATCTTGCCAATATAACGTCTGCTAAACAAAAGCAAATTCTTAATAAATCAATATTTAATCAACGAAATATCAACAACCATAAATGCAAAACCTTACAATTAATAAGTGCATTTGAATATTCATAATGAAAAACATTAAAGTTAACTTCTGAACAATGACTCTTAATTCAATGTACGCACATAGTTTATGTTTATTTAATAAGATCTCTCGTCTCGCATGACATGATTAAAAATGTGCATTTGAATATTCACAATGAAATCACATTAAAATTAACTTATTAATAATACACATAATTTATGATTTAATTAATAATTCTTTTCGCGTAATTTATTTATTTATCAATCTTAAAGATAAATGTGATTATAAATTCTACATAAAACAGATAACTTCTGATTCATTCTTAAGGAACAAAATTTATTAATCTTGTTCTAAGATTAATTTGGATATTTTTTAATATGTTCAAACCTTAATTCTTCTCAATTCTTCCCCTCCACTTTGATTTATTTAGATTATTTAGAACATTACGCCTAATTGTATTCATCATTTTATTTTTATTTTTTTTCTTAATAAATCCGATTTTATAAATGTTTTATAATAAAAAGATTTTTTCAAATTGAATAAGATCAAATAAACAATAGAACTATTTCTTAGACAAAATTTTCTTTTACTTCATTTTCTTGAACAGATCATTTACATTAGAAAATTTTCATGTAAAACGCAGTAACTACAAAAAGGAGGGCACCTTGTTTGTATTCTGATGCGTTTAAATAACAAAATTTTACTCTTTCAAAGACGCAACAAATAAATAATTAAAAGTGGAAACATTTGAGAACCATTTATTAATATAAACGTATTTATAAGTGAAACAACTAAAACAAGCAATACTAATTTTTAATATACAAAATATTGCATAAGAAACGAATTTAAAAAGGACAATTATTTTACATTTAGAAATAAAATAATTTGAATAAGTAAACGAAACTAATTATAACTTTAAATGGAAATTTAAACTAAAAAAGAACATAATCTATATTTATTATTATTAATTTTTTTTTTTTTTTTTTTTGAAAATTAGATGCACCGATATAAATATTCTGGTACATATACATTATGAGTTATGAAAATTAAAGGATATAGAATATTGAAATCGCTAAAAACTGAGCCAAAATGCAATTTCAATAATCGGTTCGGTTAATCTAATGTAAAATTGAACGAAAATAAATTTATAACATATGGACCATTAAATTAACCGCCCTTGTTTAAGAAAAAATTTTCTTTTTAAATGGTATATAGATATTCATGACAAACATGAATATCGCGATTCGTACGATTAATATATTTGATGTATTTGATCAAAGCGACGAGATAAAAAATAATAAATTCGTAAAAATATAGCGACGGTGGGAATTTTAACCGGCAAGGTACAAACGGCGGACGTGTGGATGGGTAGGTGAATAATGTTTAGGTGTAGTAATTTAACAAAATAGTAGTAGTAAGCATTTATTTATAATTAAGGGAGCCTAGGTAACCAAAAAAAAATATTTATCAAAACATTCTTATGTGGGTTATGTTAGGGAAATAGGAAATAGAATTTTTAGGTGATATTTAATTATTTAGTTATTGGATAGTGCGAAATTTTTTAATTTTTTTACGGAATATTTAAGTCATGTTCATATCATATATATAATATAACTTTACGAAAAAAGTAAAGTTAAATTTATTATTTAATTTTTTTTTTTTTTGTAATTTTTATTTCTACATTTTGAAGTTTATTCGCTTTATTTTTCAAAAGCATTGCTATAAAGAAAATTCCTTCGGAGTTATCCTTATATTTATAAATAAAAAAAAAAAAAAAATTTTAATCTCGTCTCGTCATAACCTATGAATTATTGGCAAAAAAAAATTTTTTTTTCACCAAGATTGAAGTATTAACGGGTGATACTACATATCGTGTTTACTTTATTCATGATCCTGAGAATTTTTTGTTTCGTAAAGAAAGGAAACCTGTGGGATTATTTTATCCATCCTGATACTTCAGGAGAAAAACAAAGAAACCTCCTGAAATTACTTAATATTAAATCTTTTTTTTCAAGTTATTTATCAAGTTTATTATACTACCATTTACCCATTCAAACCTAAATCATTATCAAACTTTATCAGTTATCAATTGATATAGAATTACCAAAATTTGCATACTTTATTGCGCTTTAGATTTTTACGTAACATTCGGTTCCCATGAAATTTCAAATGTCTCATTTAAGTTATATTTTTTCGGAAATATGCAAAAGAAATCATTCCGAGTCATTTGTCGTTAATTTTTTATGAACCCCCAAAAAGTCTTTTTTTCTTTGCATTGTGTTTTGCTTTGTTTTTCTTTATATGTTGGTTGTAATACTTTCTATATATATTTGTGATATTGTGATATACCGTAATAAGTATATTACGTTATTTAAGAAAAAGCCAAGTATCGTGTGTGCAATTAATTCATTGCATATATTTATGTACCCACGAGAAGTAGTTTAGGAAAAAATCGTAAAAAGAAATATATTTTTTTGTTCCCTGTATGATAAGTAAATTGTTTGCAGTGGTGCATGTGAATTGTAAACAACTTTGCATTTTTTTTTTTGTTTTATTTTAATGCACAAATTCTTCAAAAGCTCCGATTATTGAGTCACGAAATTGACGCATATTTCTTGTGTGATATTCTGGGGTCCCAATATACTATTAATCATGAGTACTTGGGTATTAAAAATAACACCATTTTTTTTATTATTTTGACTAAATTCTTGACTTTACTGAAATCGAAAAAGTACAGAAAGTTATTAGAAAAAGTCATTAGAATGGAGTATTCAGGCTGAATTTGTTGTAGGTTTTATTGATTTAAGAAAATTTTGGGATTCGCTGCTTTTGTTTTTTTAAATTGTTATAAATGGTTTAAATCAACAATTGAAAGATGTCTAGAACAATCAAAAATTATGGTAGATAAATTAGGTTAGTTTCATTATGTTCATGTATTCTAGTATATTTAAAAAATTTTAACCCCCTTGTATTCATTTATTTTAATGAATTCGTTGGAGTATTGTTTTGTCGGATGAAAAAAAAAAAAAAAACTGCGGAAAAAAAGCCATTCAAAATTTCGAATTCAAATTTAATCTCTTGGCGTATCCATCAATCCTTTTTAGAACATCCATAATTTAAAATAGCATATACACAACATTTAACACAATCTTTGTACAAAATTGTTCGAATAATGTTAACTTTAAAAAATTGAACAATTAATAATGATCTATCTGCAGAATACTGTGTCTTTTTGTGATCCTTCAATAACAAATCTGTATAGGATGAACATTGTGCATCTGATGGCCGATTATTATCGACCGAAAATAAATTTGAATTTTTGCAATTGTTTTGACATCACTTTTAAATGACTATCTAAATTTGAGATCAGCCAATTACATATCATATACCTATGACAATAACATGCCATGTAAAATACAAAATAAAAAATTTTTTGATGATTCTTTATATGTTTAAAATTATTAACTTAATAAAAATCTTGTCTTTTTGAAATCTAATAAAGAATTTAGATATTTAATAAAAATCATGCATGAATGAACTATAATAATAAAGTTTAATTTTATATATAAAATTTTAATTATTAATTTTATGAATTTATTTAAAGCTATAAATAATATAAGCAATAACAAATAATCATTTATCAGT